CAGAGACTGCCCGGCAGTGGCATGGCGCCCCAGCGGCCTCAAGGTGCTCCTGGCGGCCCTCGTCCCGGAGGCCCCCCCGCCGCCTCCTCCGTGCAGCGCCCGGGGGCGCCCGGCGCCCCGCGTCCCGCGCTGGCCGGCGTGCCGCGGCCCCCGACGGCCTCCGCCCCGCGCACAGCCGCTCCTGTGACGCAGCGGCCTACGGGGCCGGCCGCCCTTCGCCCAGGCACGCCTGCCGCACAGCGCCCTCCCAGTGCCGCTGGGGTCCCGCGCCCCGGCACCCCCGGAGCTCAGCGGCCCTCGGGCATGCCGCCTTCCCCCGCAAGCGCAGCCGCGCCAACGCGCCCCGGTGCCCCCGTCGCGCAGCGACCCCCAGCCAGCGGCCCGCGGCCCGCAGGGGCGTCGCCCGCACAGCGCCATCAGGAGCACGTGGCCTCACCCGGGGCGCAGCGGCCGCAGGGTGTTTCCCCGGGCATGGCTTCCATGCAGCGCCCTGGCTCCGCCGCGGTGCGCCCCTCCGGCACGCCCGTGTCCAGCAAGACGCCCAATGGCACCGTCCAACCGCGCCCGCCGCCCCCATCGGCGGGCGCGCAGACGCAGCGCTCGCACGTGGCGCAGGGCGCGGCCAGACTCGCGGACGGCAGCGGCTCCCAGCGCCCGCCAGCCCCTGCGGCCTCCCCGCGTCCCGCCACGCCCAAGACGCCCTCGCACGACGGCTCGGCGCCCTCCCCGCAGCCGCCCGCCACGCCGCCGGCCTCCCGCTCCACGCCCTCACCCAGGACGCTGCCCGGCGGCGCAATGTCGTTCGCCAGCGTCAACGCGTCGCCCGCGACCTCCGCTTGCGCGGCTCAGCTGCAGGCTAAGGCCGGCCCGCCCACCTCCGTCGGCAGCGGCAGCAAGCAGGGCATGGGCCGCCCCTCTGTCTCCAACGCGCAGGCCCGCACCCCGCAGCCCGCCGCGCACCCCAGTGCCAAAACCCCGCCCAACAAGACACCACAACAGTCCCCAGCGGGCGTGAAAGGCTCGCCCAAGTCACCTGGGCGGGGGCGCGGGGGCGGCGCGGGGTCGCCCATCCTGAGAATCGCCCAAAACTTGGCCAGCCGGCAGCAGCAGCAGCAGCAGCAGCAGCAGCAGCAGCAGCAGCAGCAACAACAACAACAACAACAACAACAACAACAACAACAACAACAACAACAACAACAACAACAACAACAACAACAACAACAACAACAGCAACAGCAACAGCAACAGCAACAGCAACAGCAACAACAGCAACAGCAGCAGATGCAGCAGATGCAGCAGCGCACCTCGACGCCCACCACGCCCACCAGCACCATGCTCACCCCCGTCAGCACCGTGGGCGTCGCGAGCAGCCAGGTCAGCAGCCCGCAGGCGTACGGCGCGGCGGCGGCGCCCGGCGGCAGCATGTACCCCGGCAGCGTCGGTGGCGGCTTCATGTCCCCGGCGCTGGCGGCGGCGGCGTACATGGCGTCGGCGTACGGCGACCCGTCGACGCTGAACGACGTGGCGGCCATGACCAACCTGATCACGCTGAGCCAGGCGGCGGCGCGCATCCGCGAGTACAACCTGGCCAACATGGTGTCGGACACGCTGCCGCGGCCGCTGGAGCCCACGCCCATCGACCTGTCGCCCACGTCGAAGGCGGCGCCGCAGACCCCGCTCACCAACGGCCGCGCCCACAAGACCACTGCCCACTCCGGCTCGGGGGCCAAGAGCACGTCGCTCGTCACCAAGTCGCCCTCGTCCAAGACCAGCCGCGTCAGCGCCGTCGCCAGCCCCGCCACGCCCACGATCTCGTCGCCCACGCCCGAGGTCACCATCACCAAGCTCCCCAGCACGTCCGGCGGTGCCACCAGCAGCAGCTCGTCCACGCCCGCGTCCGCCGCGCCGGGGAAGGGCGTCTCCGTGCCCGGCCTGGTCAAGTTGGGCGGCGGCAACACCAACACCGTGTCCATCACCAAGCGGCCGGCCTCCAGCAGCCGCATCGTGGCCAAGTCCCCCGCCAACGCCTCCGTCAGGCAGATTCCGAACCCGTCCTTCGTGCGCCACCAGTCCGAGGCGAGGAACAACAACAACCTCCCCAAGACGGCCTCCGCCGCCGCCGCCGCCACCTCCTCGGCCTCCTTCGTCAAGGCCGGAATCAACTCGTCCAAGGCGTACGCGATGGGCAAGCAGGGCGGCCCGGGGGCGGGCAAGCAGGGCGGCCACGGGACGGGCAACTCGCCCCTGAAGGACATGGGTCCCCTGCCGGACACGTCGTCGTCCATCCTGAAGATGGAGCACCTGACGCGGTCGCTGCCCGCCTCCGCCGCCCCCTCGGCCAGGCTCTTCGACTCGAGATAGGGAAGGGCGGCGCTAGAGTCTCTCAGAAGGCGCGAGGAGGAATAGCGAGCGATAACCGGTGGACGAAGAGAGGGGATGGGAAGGGGGCGAGGAAACTGCGCGTGTGTGGCCAGTGCCAGCTCCGCCCGTGCCCTTGGGCACAGAGTCGATTTATGCAACGATAGAAACACAGAGCGCGAGTGCTTGCATGTAGCCCTTATGAACGTTGTTACGCGAAAGTGCGCATGGCGGTGTGTTCCGGCAAGAGTGCGAAGTGAATGCAATGAGAAAGAAAGATGAAAGGTGAATTCTTACCCCGTCTTGGACTTTATCCCCCCCAAGACCTCAGATTCAGTGCCACATCCCAGTGCCTTCCTCATGCAGCGAGTGATGTCGAAAGGACCTTCGTGCGGGACTAACACAATACGAATTACGACTACGTTTACTCTATATCCAAACCTCTTTACGTGATCTACTAACGAAGTAGTGAGAGGACCCTGTATACTCGTTTTTTTTTTTTTTTTCTTTGGATTCGTTCAAGGGAAGTGATGTGGATTTTTGGAAACGTTGGAGAAACGGAGAAAGGAGACGGACGTGTGTGTGTTTGTAGGTAATTACCCACTAAGGATTGGTATTTATTCAGTTATGTTTTATTATCTTAAAGAAAAGGAAAGTTGGTGATAATTATGCCACGCCACTCCGAAGGTTTCTAACACAGACAGACGTGTGGTGTGGCGTGGCGGCGAAGGAATAAGAAAAAGATGATTTCTTTTTTTTCGTGTGTGTTAAATGTGTGTGATAAAAGTAGACGAAAGGAACGGACCACAAACCTCGGGAAGAGAGAAAAGGAATAAAGAGAGAAAAGGAATTTGGAAGGAAGGAAAGAAAAATAACGAAAAAAATCATACAGGAATGTAACCAATCGATGATATCTTCCAAAAAATTGTGAAACACTCCGACACATATCTGAAAAAAGCTGTGAAAAAAAACAACTTAAAAAAATAACTAATTTTTTTTTTGCGCTCATGCATATCAATAACCATCGGTTTAAGTTGGAGCCAAAAAGAATAGTCACGTTTTTATTATTATTATTATTTTTTTTGTGTGCTTCTTGTGTTTCTAACCTTCAGTTAACAAACGATGGAGTGCGCTGTTGAAGTAGCACAGGAAAATTAAATTTATATATTTTTTTTCACTCTTTGGTTTCAAAGGCAAATGTGATTGATAACCACCCCCTACCCCCCACCCCCATCCTCCCTTCTCTCACAGACCCACGCAAGTAAAACACAGATTGTTTTTAAGTCGTGTGTTCAAACCAGTAAACAGATACAAACAATATAAACCTATATCTTAAGTTATAGAGAAAGACTTTATGAGCTAGGTCCTCAGGGGACTTTGTACATTGGATCTACAAGGTACTTTGTAGATTTTGGGCCCTCTAGTGACTCTGTATTAGGCCCAAAAGTGGTCTGTAAATTGGTCCAAGTGGCTTTATAGATTAGGCCCACCAAGTGGCTTTATAAAATGGGCCTCCAAGTGATTTTTTTATATAGATTGGGCCTCCCAAGTGGCTTTATAAAATGGGCCCTCAAGTGATTTTTTTATAGGTTGGGCCCCCCAAGTGACTTTACAAACTGGACCTTCAAGTGGCTTTATAAATTGGGCCTCCCAAGTGATTTTTTATAAATTGGGTCCCACAGATGACCAGTTCGGTGTTCCTTAGTCAATATTCCCCCCCTCCCCCCTCTTTTTTTGTATAATAGATTTCCTGATGCCTTCTTAACTAGGGGGTATTAATTGTCTGTAAATAGATATACTGTATATGTGTTTTTTTGGTTAAACTCTCTTTTTTTGGTGAATTTGAGGGGGATTTGGGACGAAATTTATTAAATGTTTGAGGAGCGTTTAAGGGGGGGGGGGAAACAACCAAATATTATTGTATATATGGAGGGATTTGTAGATAATTTTAATAAAATACACGAATTATAGTACATTCTTGTTTTTCTTTGTTGTTGTTGTCCTTTCCTACAGAATTTGTGTTGAATTGGGTTCTTGAATTTGACTTTTGATAATTAATGTTTGTACAAGGAAGAAATTATAAATACGAAATATAAAGAAAATGAACTTTTTCAACGTTTATTCATATATGACTGTGTAAATGATGATACTAGTACTACTAATAGATTCACTACTCACTATTATCGTTAATGATAATAGTAATGAAATAAAACGACTTGTAATTATTAGTTTTAAAACATATCTCATACATAATGATAATTAAGGGTAAAGAAGAAGACAAAATAAAAAATAAATTACTTAATAAGGGAAGAAAAAGAATTGAGTGAAAGATGACATGAAATACAGGAGGAAATGCAATTAGATGAAATGGAGAGAAGATACGAGGCAGACGAAAAGCAGATAGGAGAAAAAAAAAGAAAAAAAGAGAAAAGTACAAAAAAAGACCTAAATGCAAAAAAAAGCAAATAAAATGAAACTTAGATGAACAAAAAAACAAACAAAACAAAAACCAACAGACAAAATAAACAAGAAGACCCACACAAACAAGAAACACGAATAAAACGAAGACAAGAAACCCATTTTTATAACATGCCGGAAGCGAGTGTCTCTCGTAAAGTACGTAATACGAAAGAATTACACTAATGCCACTAATTTGCTCGATTATAAAGGCCCAACTATCAATTAGGGAAAAAAGCTATAATTACCATCATTCTTAGGCCGGCCAGACGTCGCTACTAACGAGAAAGGCGTCTTTTCCGAGTGACAAGGAAGGGAAGTGATGTATGCGGGCGGGTGACGTAAATATACGTGGAGGTATTATAGGGATATTATAATATATTCGTTTGAGAGTGAATGAAAGATTTTACTCGCCTACGAGTAAAATCTTTTAATATTTTATTTGTATATATATATATATATATATATATATATATATATATATATATATATATATTTATCAATTGATTTATTTTTGTGTGTGTGTGTGTTTGCATTGTTCGTGTTATTCATTACTTTTTTTTGTAGGTTTGTTGTCACTGTTGTGAGTGTTGCTGTTATTTTATCAAAGATCACTACTACATCTGCTTATAATACTGTGACGTTAACAAGCAAGTAGACATTCTCTCGAACGTGCGAAAAAAATAGTATAGATGCCACTACCCCCCTTAAGACCAAAATTAGACGTTCCTCCGCTCCATGGATAAATGAAGACATCAAAAGAGCTTTAACATGGCCGATATAACACCCATAAATCTCTCAGAACGAACAGACCTGACGTCACCCTTGATGCTAAATATAAAAAAAGAAAAAAAAAGAAAAGAAAAAAAAGAAATGTTCAAACATTAATCCAATCTTCAAAAACAACTCATTTTCAAAATAAGTTCAAAACAATTAAAAGGTTAGCATCAAACAAAAACACCACAGAGACACTTCCTTAGATTCCTTAAGTAGTCTAGAACATCTAAAAGAATATTTTGTTAATATCGGCAGCCCACAAAACACAACTAGGACGAAGCTCTCCACAAATGCTTTCAGATCACAGACCAATAGGAGTGGAAACGACAGTCCTAACAATAATACACTTGCGTAAAACGAAAGTTGTAGGAGTGGATATCATCGCTTTTCGATTCGTCAAAGAAAGCTCACCAGCAATTGCATTCTATAGTCACTGGTACCTACCCATCACTTTGGAAACATGGCATCATAACACCCATTTACAAATCAGGAGATGCAGAACAATTGCACAGTTATCGCCCTATAAGTCTACTCCTAATGATATCTAAAGTGCTAGAAAAATTATTGCAAATCAACCATCAACATTCTTAGAATCCGAAACGCAGCATGGGTTTAGAAGTAAGCTATCCACTGAAACAACCTTATTAAAAATCACAACCCAAACTTATGACAACATAGACAAGAATCAAATAAATCTACTCACATTACTTGATCTATCAAAAGCATTTGCCATTGTGAGCCATGAAATCCTGCTTATCAAAATGAAAAAAATAATTGAATTGACAACGATTAGTTCAGAAGTTATCTGTCAAGAACGCAGTCAATCAAAATTCGTAATAACATGTCATCTCAGAAACCAGCCTCTTTCGGTTTCCCACGAGGCTCCATATTAAGCCCGATCTTGTTCACTGTATTCATTAACGACCTGGCAACCATTGCAAGCAGCTGTCTCTTTGTTCAATATGCCGATGACTCTCAGTTTCTTCTCGCTGCTCCTGTAAGCAATTTAAATAAATTGATAAGAAATACTCAACAGACTCTTTCAGAAGCAGAGGTGTTTTAGACTACAATGGGCTTAAACTAAATTCTGATAAAAATCAAATGCATCTTTATAGACAGTCTGCAAAATACAGCCAAAAACCCACAAACACAATCATAGAATTTGAGGGCTATTTTAAATAAAGCATTTCCATGAAAAATCGAGGAGTACATATAAACAGATAGTAATGACTTTCGAGACACACGGACATTTACAAAAAAAAGTAATGGATACACTGACAATATTTAAATCGCATAAAAAAAACAAATATCACCACTGAAACGAGAATTCCTCTTGTACAAACCTTTGCACTCAGCATTATAAACTATTATTCCAACATATGGGGCTCAAGCAACAAAAGTCAAATACAAAAAAAAACAAAACAAAAAACACAAAAACCATAAAACTTTACTGCAATAAGCAACAAGCAATATAAATAAACATTTCCACATAACCCCCCCCATTGCAACAAATTAAAATGATTAAAAGCTCAACAAAATGCAAATTTAACACCGACTCATTCATAATTTCACACTGGGGACTCTTTTCGTTAATGCGTCTCCAAACAGCAAGCATTCAAACCTGACTGATTTACTTTCTGCTCGTTAAAAGGTCATACACGAAAACAGGGTCAAGGCAAATGCAAATCCGAGACCCGAGATCTGGAACAACCTACATACAACAAAATAATAGAAACATCTCCAACATGATTACTTTCAAAAGGAAATTAAAGGACATTTAAATGCAAAGCCAAACCATGTACCTCTACTTCTAATGATGTGACCGTATACACACATACACACATACACACATACACACATACACACATACACACATACACACATACACACATACACACATACACACAT